CAGAGCGCCCACAAGGCAGGCACGTCTTCGCAAAAACTCCCTATCGCTACAAGCTCAACAACCACCACCAACCCAAGGTCCAAAGCACTGCCAAGGCCAGCGTAGGATTCCCAAGCCGCAATCTTCAGGGGCGTCCGCTTTGGAACAGGAGGCACTTGAGGCCGATTTCGCAAGCTTTGAGGAATGGCCGCTTGAAGCGGTCCTCAAGCGCGTTTGGGTGGGCGGGGCAGCGACGTTTCAGGTGGAGTTCACGTGGAATCCTTGTACGGATCATGGGCACCATGACCGCTTCCCAGAAAATCCGCGGCGCAAGTCACCAGGAGGGAGGATTTCCTCGAGGGCACGTACCCTCCCTTCAAGAATTGCCCCCACAAGTAAGAAGGTTCTTCCACGCAACGAGTATTATAATGTCGAGAAAATTTTGAAGTGGCGACAGGGAGAAAAGGGACTGGAGTACCTGGTCAAGTGGGCAGGATATGGGAAGAAGCACAATTCTTGGGAACCCACTGCCCATTTCGAGAGATGTCCCGAGGTACTAGAGGCATTCCACCAGAAGGTGGGATTGTCCAAGACTCCTTCCATGTAAATCCCGAACCGAATTTCACGCAGGGCGCCTAATGGTCGTCGGTAGATAAGATCATAGATTAATCACGGGACGTTTACATATACCATCTTCCGGCTGGTGAGAACATTGGGAAGTAGTGCTTGAAAAGTCCTTGTTGAGAAATACCTACCTCGCATTTGGCATCTGAGTCAACCAAAACCCCGTTGTTACTTGGAATGTTCCATTCCATCTTCCCGAGTAAAGAGGATGGCTAAGGTAAGTTAAGTAGGTGGTGTGAAAGGTGGTGAGTACAACAAAGATGTGTTGAGCAAGGAGTCTGAGTGGCTAATTTAGGTAGACGGTGTGCTAGGCGGTGGGCTAGGCGGTGGGCTAGGCGGTGGGCTAGGCGGTGGGCTAGGCGGTGGGCGGCAAAGAGTGCTCTATTGTACGTCAATTAGGAAGGCGGTACAATCACTAGCACAAATCGGCTTCCGCTTTTTACTCACTCTTCCATTGTCTGGAGTCCCCGGTTTGGATACATCGTGCCTGCTCCCACGGTCAAATGTTCAGCACAGTCCAGCACAATGCGCCTTTGCCCAGCTGACCTAAGCCGGGCAAGCTGCTGACTGTCAACATTCTTCAGATCCGGGCACATGTTTTCAAGTAACGTTCTGTAGAGCCTCAAAAAAAATAAAAATATAAAGTAATAAAAACAACGGGTGCTCTGCGCTCGTTGGCCTGCACTTTTTAACCATTGGCTAATGAAGCGCCCAATGTACCAACCCAGGGCTGCCGCGACCAATGATGTGACTGCCAAGTCAAAACGCTGACCAACACCGACACAAATTCCTTGCATACTGTACAAGGCAGCAGCCATCAAAGATGTCACAAATCATTGTCTATCACACCTTAGCTGATTGGTTGGCTCCGTCCCTGGTGATGGCGATAGCCTGGCCCTGCACCCTCCTGGTAACGGAAATGGTCTGAGGCAATTCAAGCATCAGCTACCCAGAGTTGGGACCTTGCTGCGACCTGCTCGCCAACCTGTTGATGGAGTGTCAAGACAGCTTGAATGGTAGAATTGATATGTAGCTAACATTTGGACTGCCTTAGACCGTTTCCGTATAAGGGAAGTTACAAAGTGATCTTGCGCCGGATTAGCTGAGGGCTGCCTAACTGATTGACCGTAGTGGTGTGGAGCTTGGTAAGTTAGGTGGTATTTGAGCAGTCAGTGAAAAATACGTGTAAAGACAGCTAGGTTAAGTAGGCGGTGTAAAGGCGGTGGGCAGGAGACAGTTACAGTCAAAAACCAACAAGGAAGG